GCATGAAGGGTGCGCTGCATCCTGCTAAGGGTAATCGGCATCTTGTGCTTACTTCCTTGCATACGGATGACCTTTGCGTATGACTTAATTTACTTTGTGGTGCTTTCACTTCTAGAGACATCTGTAAGCACTGTGCAACTGCCTCGAAGGTGCTTGACCATTTAAACACAACGTGGTGCGATCATCCCCCTTGTGCGGAGCGAGGGTTCTCCACCCCGCACAACATGATTTACCCGACCGCCATTATGGTTACCGCCAAAAAAAGAGGTAAAAAAACGGCAAGCTGGTTGCCGAATTCACGAAGTGACTTGGCCTGTTTTACAACGTCGTTGCCAAGTGACGCAATCCCAATCCCGATGGCAAACACCGAGGGAGGGGCTTGTTTACGACGTCGTTGCCAAGCGACGAAAACCAACCCCGATGACAAAACACCTGGGGGGAGTCAGGTGGGGGGTTGGGGGTGGGGGGTGTTGAATGCTTTCCTTTCCCGCTTTCGCAGAGCTGCTGCCTGCGTTTTAGGGCTCTTCACGTTGGTGGTGGCACAGCCCCTCCAAACGGACACATTTCCAAAAGCAAGCAGCGGGGGAAAACAAGAATTATTTACTCTTAAGGCTTCCCCCCACCTCACTCTCTCCGTGTAGTCTTCATCTGCCATTTCGTTTGCTGTTTTGTGACCATGTAATCTCGCATCTCGCAGCAACGCACGCGGTAGCGCGTCTTTGTCCTTTGGACGAGCCTAATCCTCAGTTGGACATGCACATCGCCGTTGATGCGCGCCCTTTACAAACTGCGTGTGGGGGAAAAGGTCGGTCGTTCGAGGCCCGTTTGGTGGAGGTGGGGTCCAAGACCGTCGTGACGGGGAAGGACTTCGATCCGGACACGGGGGAGATCAAGGACACGCTCGACGCCTCCAAGCTCGTGAGTGCGCCTTCCTGCCAGCTTTTACTTGAAAGCTCGTCGCCTCTCCTCGTCGCTGCACAATCATGGTACGCACGTGCTACAGCTCCTGCCTTCTCTGCCATTATTCCTCAGTCATGTATATATTCTTCTCTGTTATTCATGTACACATGTGTTCCTTTCTTCTTCTTTTTCGTAGGAACTTCTCGGTTCGGAGAAAGCGTCCGCCGTGGCGGCGTCGCTGTCGTCCCTCGAGGTGCTCAAGGTCGACAAGAGACGGGTCAGGCGGCAGCCTCCTGCGCCCTTCATCACGTCCACGCTGCAGCAGGAGTCGAGCCGAAAGCTCCGGCTGGGAGTGGATCAGACCATGAGGGCGGCGCAGGTCAGCAAGGGGGGGGGATGACGGTGTGTGAATTTTGTTCTTGGGGGGCGGGGTGTGTGTAGGGGGTTACTCATCGTCGAGCATGCCGTAGTCGCTGGATCATTTACCTTGCATCCCTACAAAGCCGGGACGGAGCACGCCGGGTTTTCACCGGACCAGACTCTCACATCACCAAGTGCTTGTTGTTTTATCTTGGGCGGGAGGGTGGGGGCAGTACTCAATGAGTGTTTGACGCACAGCCGTAGTGTAGTGCCGTAGTACACCGTAGTACATGGCATCCTTGCAATGCTGGAACCTCCGAGNGACGGTGTGTGAATTTTGTTCTTGGGGGGCGGGGTGTGTGTAGGGGGTTACTCATCGTCGAGCATGCCGTAGTCGCTGGATCATTTACCTTGCATCCCTACAAAGCCGGGACGGAGCACGCCGGGTTTTCACCGGACCAGACTCTCACATCACCAAGTGCTTGTTGTTTTATCTTGGGCGGGAGGGTGGGGGCAGTACTCAATGAGTGTTTGACGCACAGCCGTAGTGTAGTGCCGTAGTACACCGTAGTACATGGCATCCTTGCAATGCTGGAACCTCCGAGGCTGCTGTTGCTACTGCATGACATCGCGTCTAGCATGAAGTTGACCTTGCCTTGCTTGCCATTTATTTCTTGGTCTAAGCCTTACGCTAAGCTCATTTGTCGCAGCATCTTGCAGCTCTTGTTCCGCCGCAATCAGGGATAATATGCAGTTTTCTACGATTTCGGGTGTCAGCAGTTTCCCTTTCTTTTTGTTTGTGTTTCGTACCTTTTTTTTCGACGTTTCTCAGGCCCTGTACGAGGCGGGGTACATCACCTACATGCGCACGGACAGGCCCAGCCTGAGCAAGGAAGCCGCCAGGGTGGCTGAGGGTGCGGTGAGAGACTCCTTCGGCGGCGAGTACGTGCGGAAGGGTAAGAAGCGATCGTGAAGGGGCTTGGTTTTATTCTTTTATTTAGGGGTTTCCTCGTCGAAGGCGTCAGCCTGAGTGTTATGTTTTTGTATGTGGTCGTTTTTTCTTCCATCTCTCTCGCCGTGAGTACACCCTTTGAGTACACCCTCTCTCTCTCTCGCTACCCCGTTCTTTCTCTGCATCTTTGCAGCTGTCGGTCTATGTTCCTGTGTGCCTTGTCACTGTACCTGTTTCGCGGTGCCACAAGGACGATAGGCGAGCATGCCCCCGCCCTCCTCCCCCGCCGATAGACAAAAATCGATTCAGATATACGCAAAAGACATTTTGAGTATCTGCACGTGCCGCTCTCGCACCGCTGTCCCTTCTGGCAAGTGTGCATTCCCTTGACCCCCTCACGCCGTGGCATTTTTGTCCTTTTTCCCTCTTCACTCGAAAGGGGACGCTAAGGTTGTCAAGGTCAAGGGCAGCCAGGAGGCGCACGAGGCCATCCGCCCTGCCCTTGTCGGGGCAACCCCCGCCGCGACCGATACTCACGACGGAAAGCAAGCGGGCGAGGAGGAGGAGGAGGAAGCGGGGTCAGGGGCTGGGTCAGCCTCGACTACTACGACTGGGGGGAGGTTCTTGCATCCCACGGAGCTCCCCGTAGAGGAAGACGGCGGCGGCGGCGGCGGCCGCGGCTTGGAGGAGCAGCACAGGGCGCTGTACGACCTGGTGTACCGGCGGACGCTGGCCAGCGCCATGGCGGAGTCGGAGGCCGACTTCACGACGGTTTCGCTGGGAGCGGGAGGCGTTTCTCTGGGGGACGGCGAGGTACGCGCGTGTAGGGGGTGTATACTCGTGTAAACCGCATCCCACATTTAGTCGTTAGACCCTTGCATCCCTTCAATGCTTGGACGGAGGAGCGATGTGACGGGTAATCGCCGGCCCAGGCGAGGCGTATTGTGTGAGTGGCCGCGTTCGTCAAGTGCGACGGGTGGTGTATCGGAAGTGTTTAAATTGCAGGTGTGTGGCAGGTGTGGTTATTCTCGTGCCGAGAGTGAGCTCCGGTTAGGCTTGTGTGGTGCTCGAAACCGTCTCGTGAAAGGGTTGAAGTGCGGCTGTGGTACAGCAGTGCTTTGTTGTGCTTGGTACACACCTCAGCATAGACCTTTCGGACTATATCGTGGAGGTCTGGGTGTATATTTCGTGAGACGGTAGATGGACAGCAGCAGCAGCAGCAGCAGCAGCAGCAGCAGCAGCAGCAGCAGCAGCAGCAGCAGGAGGAGGAGGAGGAGGAGGAGCACCAGCAAGAAGAAATCAGCAATTGGGAGAGCGTGAGGTGGTTTGGTTGTCTATGATGCCATGACGGCGTTGACAAACAGGGAGGCAAAGTCGTTCCGGGTCCAACCGCTTTGTGAAACTTGTGAAACCAGTATTTGTGAAACTTGTGAAACCGTATTTGTGGAACTAACGCTGGCGAAACGACTGGTGCAGCAGAGGAAGAACTGCGTACCTATACGAGAGTTCTGAACTTGAAAAGAGGGAGGTGGGGGGCTCGAGAAACGGAGTATTTTTTGTCGCTCAAGTCCCCTCCCTCTGTTCCTCTCTGTACCCACCTCGTAATCGCTTTGCCCTCGAACCGCAAGTAGCAACAATAGCAACAATAGCAACAATAGCAACAACTAGTTTCAACCAAACCACAAAGCCTGCAACCCTGATCATGGCTATCACAACACCGCGTTTGCAACCTTTCACGAAAAACAGGAAGTTGTGGACGTGGTGCTGAAGGCGTCGGGCAAGACGACGGTTTTCGATGGGTTCTTGAAGGCGTACAGGGTGGAGGGGGCCGACGAATCTGTCCCCGGTGGCGCTGCGGCGGAAGGTGAGCGCGGAATAGATCACTCTGCCTTGTGTGCAGATGCAGCGATGACCCACACCACGAGGCATCACCCCCCAATAAGGTTGTACTTGTCTAGAGTCTCGAGGGTTTTTCAGCTCAGCTGCTCTAGCGACAAAAGCACCCAGCTGCTGGTTGGGGAATGTTGTACCCTCTGGTTCCCCTCTCTTTTTTTTCTGCCAAACGTCTTCAGGGAGTATCTGCTTGAGGTCAGGAGCTAGCTTACCTGAGCTAGCTTATCTTGTTCATCGCTGTACTGGTGTTTCCCTAAGTGCGCACAATCTACACCTCATCGAGTACCCGCCACCCTTCACACTCCCTGACCCCCCCCCCCTTGCGGGTGTTGCAACACTGCTGTACCACTTGTTTAGGGGATGACCAAGAGACGGAGCTACCGTTGTTGGTGGAGGGGGGAGAAGTGGTTTGCGAGGACGCTAGGCCAGCGCCACACCGCACGTCACCCCCTAGAAGGTACCGTAGGTTAGGGTATGGTACAGTGCAGTTTGCGCGCCACAAGATAAGACAAGGCGGGCCTCGTGGTAGGCTGACGTAACCCAGAGTGGCAAGGGCGGATAAAGCTGAAGGAGTAGTCGTCGTTGTTATTGGTGCTGCTGTTTTTTTTTTTGTCGTTGCTGCTGCTGCTGCTGCTGCTGCTGTTATTTGTTCGTGTTCTTGTCCTGTTGTTGTTGTTGTTCGACTCGCTGTCGGCTTGTGTCGCCGAAGTTTAAGTTTCATTCCAAGAAACTCCCACGACACCTCACCTAGTTGAGGCCCTTCTCGGGTAAGCAGTCCTCCACTTCTTGTGTTTTATTCCTTCAGAGTCACCGTCGCCCNAGCTTCATCAAGGAGCTCGAGGCGAAGGGGGTCGGGCGTCCCTCCACCTACGCGAGCATCATCGGCACCCTTCGCACGAGGACGTACGTGAACCTGCAGGGGCGGAGCCTGACGCCGAGCCTGACGGGCTTTGTGGTGGCGGATCTGCTCAGGGAGCACTTCCCTGATTTCACGGACACCGGCTTCACGGCAAAGGTGTGCCTACGTGCGTGCTTGCGTGTGTGTGCGTGGGTGGGTGGGGCTCTAGTTGTCCACAACTGTAGTAGTGCAGTTTGTGAGACTCGTCGTTTCGACGTTCGATGTCCCTCTCCTCTCGCTCGAGTTATTGCTGCTGCGCCAGTGTGTGGCGAAGGAACGGTTCGCGTACTCGGTAGGGAAGACTTTTGTGTTTTTTCGCTGCTCGACGTATGTGCGCCTGAAAAGGAAAAAATCGAGCAAGTCCAGATCCGCATGCTACTTGAAAGTGGTATCTTCACAGCCCTCGCTGGTTGTCTTCAGGCGAGTATTTCGTAGGTCAACACGTTGCAGGAAGTCAGGCCGTCCAACGATTTGTTTGTTTGTTGTCCCCAACAAAACCCCGCCCTGAGCTTGCGCATGAGTTCACGCCCTTTGTCATGAATAGTAAGAGGTATCACGTTGTTGGTTGGTCGGTCGCCACCGCAAAACTTGGAAGGTACCCTGTCATGGCGTGCACATTTGTGCGGCGATATGTACACGCCACACCTATACTGCATGATCCCCCACATCGAGCAAGATGTCCCCCCTCCCGCCCCACCGACCGCTCTGCTTTACCCCTGCCGTGCGTTATATGACCGATACGCGGCGGCACACGCCACTGCTGCTTCACGTACGTAGATGGAGGACAAGCTGGACGCCATAGCGAGGGGCGAGAAGGAGAGGGTGGAGTACCTCAGCGAGTACTACCTGGGGGAGGATGGTCTGAAGGCCAAGGTGGCCAGCAAGAGGGCCACGGTAGACCCGCTGGAGGCCAAGCGGGCCCGTCTCCCGGGGCTGGAGGTAATAGGACTGTGATATAGATTGTTCTTTTTGGTTTGATGAGGTTCCCTGGGCTCTTTTGAGTCAAGAACAGCTGTGTGAGCTTTGGGAGACGTCACTGATGGCAGCTGGCAGCTGATTCACGCAAACACATGCTTTACTTTCATCTCGCATCACGCCTTGATGGCCATGCTCCCATGACCCCACTCCGGAGACGCGCCTTGCTACGTACTAGACATATGATGGGTGAAGCACACTTCCTTGGGTTTGATGGCTCGTGTCAGTCCGTGTGTGTTGGTTGTGGCATATGGCATGGCATGGCATGGCATGGACACAGCAACCAACACAGGTCTTCTTGTGTGTAAGAGTACTCGTGTGCGTGTGCGTGTCCCCTGTGCGTTGCCCTTTTTCTTTGCACTCGTCAAAAAGGGTACGTTGCCGTCCCGTCAGCATGAGTGCCTCGAGCATTGCCACCCTATGCCCTTACTATACCTGTGCGAGAGAAAGCGGGCGGCCTCCGCACGAGGAGCGATTGGTCGCCCCCCCCGTGGTGGATGTAACAGCTTTTTGTGCGCTGCTTGACCGGATACTTTCAAGGACAACGTCAAGGCACCCGTCTTATGGTGCTATAAGGCTTGACCTTCTGTAGCGGTGGGGACAACAAGTAACCTTGTATTTCAAGGCTATTGAACGAGGTGCCTGCGCCTGGTGCTGTGAGGCTTGATCTCCGGCTGCAGCTTAACGGAATATAAGCCAGCTACACAAGAACTAACGAGGAGTGCCCTTGTGCCACCCGCCCTTTCGTCTTTCCTGTATTTCACTCACGTGCCGTATGTATGCATGCATGTATGCATGTACTTCCTCTGTCACATAAGTAAAGTCCGTTATGATTACACGGCCATTTAGCCGTGTCCGATGTCTTAGGCGATACTTTTTTTGAAATCTTGAGCGTTTTTCGGGTTGAAACCAATATTTCTTTTTTTTTCTTGCGCACTACCCTGCATGCACTAGCGGTATACAAAAAAGTAGTCAGGCCAAAAAAGGCCGTATTTTGCCCCTTTCCATGAGGGTGGGGGTGGGGGCACGAAACGAAACATACAAAAAAAAGACAAGAATTATCCCGAACTCTAAACCCAAGGTTGCCTCTACTGAACGATCCATTTCGCGTCCTCCCATACAAAAACCAACATAGTAGTGAACCCACACTAAAATCAAGACATTTTCGAGGCCCACACTAAAACCAAGACACTTGGGGGCGCCACACTAAAATCAAGTTACTTACGGGGCAAAGCCGACAGGCGTAGGGTCCTAACCCTACCCCCCCCTTGTACTCAACGACCCGTGTCGCGTCCGCCCAATGTTTTCTGGGGTAATCACTACCAACGCCGTACCGCTCGGCGAGGGGGCCTAGAAAGCCCTTGGGTACCCTTTCTTTGCCCGGCGGAATCGCCAACGCTATCTCCACCGCCATGGCGTACTGACGACCCAACGATACTTCCGCACCCCGCTTACGACGTGGGGGTGTCTGGGCGTCGTCCCCCATGATAGCTACGTCGTTGTGGTGGTAGTGGGTGCTCACACAGCACAAAGCTGCAAATATTCTTTAAAATGTTCTCAAAACGTTTTCAAAATATTCCCAAAATATTCGCAAAATAGTCCCGTATTTGACACACTAATTCTCAGTAATTGTGAGTCGGATTTTTTTTTTTTTGAGTTATGTGCGTATCAAGCGCTTTCCAACAAACCTAATTAGAGCTTTACCAACAAACCTAATTAGAGCTTCAGGAACACCTTGGCTGGCGAGGTATGTAAATTCCCCCATAACGGACTTTACTTATGTGACAGAGGAAGTATGTATGTATGTATGTATGTATGTATGTATGTATGTATGTATGCATGCATGTAAAAGTGTTTTCTTTTACGCGCCGCCGTCTGCGGGTACACCAGAGCCTGGACGATCGCTGCTCCATCTTGGTGGGGCCGTACGGAGGCTACCTGGTCCCCAAAGCCTCCAGCGGTGCGGTAACCGGTGATGACGCCAGAGGTAGCGAGGTGGAAGGCGCCGAGGGGCCGAGGGGCGGAGAGGAGGAGGAAGGGGAGAAGAAGTCTTCCGCCGTGACGCTGCCGTATGTTGCGCAGGACAACCTGGAGCTGCTGACGGTGGACTTGGTGGAGAGGTGCCTGGACTCGACGTACAGGGGAGGGGACCTCTTGGGGCAGCACCCGGACACGGGAGAAGACGTGAGAGTTTTTTGTTTTTCGTCCTTGTTTTTGGACTTTGTGGCGATTTTGTATGGAGGCATGGTTTGAGGGATTATTGCCAAGCAGAAGAGGGGTGAATGAACAGTTGCAAGGCGGTGACTTTTGTTCGGTGCGGTCCGGTGCGTGAGATACCGCAGTAAAGGACGAGCGAGCGAGAGAGAGAGAGAGAGAGAGAGAGAGAGNGGGGGGGCGGGAGAGGGAAAGACAGAGAAACAGAGGGAGACAGGGAGACAGAAGGACAAAGCACCCATTCGAACACGGGTATTTACTCTAACGCCGCCAGTACCGTCCCTCCCCCGCTTCCCTTGTTTTCACACCACGCGCGCTCCCCCCCTCGCCCCCCGGTCTTGCCGTCAGATCCGAATACGCATGGGCCGCTACGGCCCGTTCCTGGAGTGCGGCGGAATCCAGGCGGCGGCGTCCGCGCACGTGAGCACCGCTAACAAGAAGGACCCGACGGACCTCAGCCTGCCGTCTCAACCCACCCCGACAGATCTGCTCCAGCAGAGGGGGGGAGGAGGACAAGAGCTCGGCGCTTCCTCCCCAGACGGGGAGGCCGCTGGAAGAGGTCCTCATCCTCCCGCCGCCGCCGCCGCTAGCGGCAACGACACCGTAGTCTATTCGGCCGAAGACGTGATCGCTTTTGGGCTGGGGGCTAACGCTACCGAGAACGGCGGCGGCGGTGCAGCCGGCAATGGCGGCGGCGACGGCGGGGTCGGGACGTGGTACTCGGCGGTGTCGCTGGAGAGAGCGGTGGGGCTCCTGTCCCTGCCGAGGGTGGTGTGCGAGTCGCACCCCACTGAGGGGGGAGCGATCGAGGCCGGCGTGGGGCGGTTCGGGGTGTGGGTCAGGCACAAGGACTCGTACAAGAACGTGCCAGCCGGGATCGACGTGCTCGACGTGGACGAGGCGCTCGCCGTGCGGCTGACAGACGAGATGATCCAGGTGTGAAGGAACGTGCGCTGTAGGTAGCCGCCGGCGCTGTGGCCGAAACGAAAAGCGAGGTATCGGCTGGCGGTGCGGCTGGTTGATGAGATGATTCGGGTGTGAAGGAAGGAACAAAAACGAGCGAGCGAACGAACTTGGGCGGTAGGTATAACCAGCCGGCGCCGTGGCCGTGAAGATAAAGCGGGGTGTCAGCTGGCGGTGCCGCTGACTGATAAGATGATGGTTCGGGTAAAGGAACGATCGTGCGCGGTACGTAGCCGGCGGGGCTTCGACCGTAAATGAAAATGCCGGGTACCGCGATGGTTGTCGTGAAGGGGTGGTTGGCCGATGATGCACTGCTTGCCGCTTGGTTGGCCGCCGGAGTGAACATGAGGAGCGGTGGTGTGGACTTGCAGAGAGAAGGCTTGGGGCCTTTCCGTGGCGAGCGGCGTTGCTAGCTCCCCCTTTGTGCCCTGTTTCCGAATCGGCAGCAACAGCCGCGGCGGAATTATGCAGGCTCGCCTCATCCTTGTCAAACACTCACGCAGTAGTGTCATGTTAATTCTTGAAGAGTCTCACATGCCATGTGCCCCCCATTGTTTCGCGCGCAGAGAAACAAGGATCGACCGACGATAGAGATTGGAATGCTAGACGGAGAGAAGGTGTTCATCAAGTACGCCAAGTACGGGCGGTGCATCTCGTGTGACGGCACAGTGGTGATGGTGAGTGTTTCTCCCACGGACATCTTCACAGCTGCACCTCTTACCCACCGAGAGGTCCTGACTGGTACAGCAAGGTACAATACTACTGTAAATCCTATATCTTATAGCCAAGCATAAAAAGGGTCAAGTATACCATCCTTAATCCTATGCAATAGACCCCCCCCCCCCCCCCCCC